CCAAACTGCATCTGACCAAACCTCTTCAGGCCTAACCTACACAAGTTGCAATATTTCTCCATCCTAAACAAACCTGAGTGGACCTAATATAACCTCATTGGTTGCAGAAAGTTAGAAAGGTGGTCCAAGTGTCAAGTGTGCTGGTAGAGAAAGTCATTGGCTGCAAGTGCAAGAAGGTTGTGAGTCAGTATAGCATGAAGAGGTTAGGTTGGACATTGAGTAGGTACAGCTGTATGAGGAATTGCCTGCTTATGAGCAAGCATGCTTAAGGTGAGCGTCTGGCCAAAATTTTATCTTGGCTATTTACAGACGGATCACTTTGAAACTTGGTACACACGTTTAAAACCAAAAAATAGACTGCTTTTATTCATGTAAATTTCTTGGAAAAATTAAAGGGAACGTGAAATTCTTAAAAAACTGCCAAAAAAGGGGGTGCTGTAGGAAACTCCTCTTAGTATTTTCAATCTACAACATCAAGACTTGTATCATTTGATGTGCAATGACTAAGCATCATATCTATTAATTCCTCATAGCTTTTTTGAAATTTGAATTTTTGTGGGTGGGGGAGCATTTTTCAAAAATTTTTTCATTTCCCCCTTTATCAAAATATTTTAAAAACTATAATATATTTATATATATACAATAAAACTAGAAATATTTCAAAACTATATATTCTGACCTATCCAAGGGTTATTATGGGTACCAAAACCATCTTTTTGTTGATTTATGTGTTCACAACAGATTGCAAAAGGGTTAGGGGTGGTGGAGTTCTTTAACATTTAACATAGGGCATAATGCCCAAAAGTGCACTTGGATAGCCAGTCTGAACACGCTCTGCTTAAGTAACCTGGCGGCTGTTGAGTGGGATGGTTCTCGTGCAGTCATTTGCACCATCCTTTACAGAAATTGAGCTACTGTATTGTCTGTTAAATAATAATTAATATTTAATGAATGATAATTAATAATTAATAATTAATAATAATTAAGTAATAATTAATAACTAATAATTAATAATTAATAATAAAATAATAATTAATACTTAATAATTAATAATTAATAATTATGAAGGTTGCATGGGTGAAGGTTGCATCCTTGCAACCTTGTTAATGCCTATTTCAAGGCATGCAAGACTTTGTCACGCTCTACTGAACATTCACATTTATTGTCACTGGAAAACTATCTCCTAGTTTTTAAGCTACAGCAATGAGAGCTGTACCATTCAATTTGCAAATAAAAGATCTAGAGATTAGTTGTAGCTTTTTTCAATTTTGTTATAGTTTTGAAAATATTTTCAAGAAAGGGGAAATCAAGAAACTTTCAAAAATTGTATAAAAAATGCCTCCCTACCCACAAAAATTTGAATTTCAAAAAAAGCTACAACGAATCAATAGATATGGTATTTACACATCAAATGATATGCGTCTTGACTTTCTATGTTGTAGCTTGGAAATTCTAGGAAGAGATAGTTTTCTATGGTACCCCCTTTTTGGCCGTTTTCTAAGAATTTCATGTTTATTTCATTTAAAAAAATTGACATGTATAAAAGCCATCTATTTTTCTGTTTTAAATGTGTACCAAGTTTCAAAGTGATCCATCTGTAGATAACCAAGATAGTTTTTACCCAGATGCTCCCCTTTCACCTATGTTAAAGGGAGCATCTTGGTCCAAAATAAAAAATATAGGCTTCTCTGCTTTTTATGCTCATCTTAAAGCTTACATTCTGCCACGTCTAATGGTACCAAAACCATCTCTGTACATTGATTTATTTGTTCACGGCAGATTGCGAAAGAGTTACCTGCATGAACCCTTTAACAAATACCTGCTTAAGGAAATTCGATTATAGTTTTGATTTTATTTTGCAAGTGCCAGGGGGGGGGGGGTAAAATTGAAAAGTGTAAGAAAATTTTATGGAAAATGCTCCCACACCCACAAAATAGAGAAATCAAAAAAATGCCTGAGCAAATTTGTAGATATGGTCTCAATGTATCAAATGATATGTGTCTAGATTGTGTTGCTTGAAAATTCTAGGAGGAGAAGTTAAGAGTTCTTATGTTTTTCATTTCACATTTCATTTTTTTTAAAAAATTCATATGAACAGAAAAGTTTTAGTATTATGTTTTACATACGTGTATTAAATTTCAAAGTGAACTGTCCGTAAATAAAAAAGTTTTTCCAACCAATACACTCTCCTCTAAGGGAGGGTATACCCTCCAGCAAAACTTCCACATTTACTAATGGATCTTTCTGAAACTTCACACTTATATGTAAAACCAAAATACAAGAACATTTTGTTCATATGATTTTTTTTGGAAAAATTAATAGAAAAGGTGAAAGTCATAGAAAATAGACAAAAAATGGGGTACCGTAGAAACCTATCTCCTCCTAGGGTTTTCAAGCTACATCATTGAGACGCATATCATTTGATGTGTAAAGACCATACCTATCAAGTTATTGAGCCCTTTTTTGATTTTTGCCATAGGTTTTTTACATGAATTTTTCTGTTTTCTTCTAATTTTTTCTCATTTTCTTCAAATTTTCCCCCTCCCCCCATTTTGAATCCCAAATATGCACAAATCTAAAAAAAGGGCTCAATAACTCAATAGGTATGGTCTTTACCAATTGAATGGTATATGTCTGTCTCATTGCTGTAGCTTCAAAACTCTAGGAGATAGGTTTGCCGTGACAATAAGTGTGAATGTTCAGCAGAGCGCGACAAAGTCCCGCGCGCATCGCAATAGGCACTCAATGTAGCAAGTATACGAAACTAAACGTTACTGGAGCTTGAAAAAAGCCATCTATTTTTCTGTTTTAAATGTGTACCAAGTTTCAAAGTGATCCATCTGTAGATAACCAAGATAGTTTTTACCCAGATGCTCCCCTTCCACCTATGTTAAGGGGAGCATCTTGGTCCAAAATAAAAAATATAGGCTTCTCTGCTTTTTATGCTCATCTTGAAGCTTACATTCTGCCATGTCTAATGGTACCAAAACCATCTCTGTACATTGATTTATTTGTTCACGGCAGATCGCAAAAGAGTTACCTGCATGAACCCTTTAACAAATGCCTGCTTAAGGAAATTCGATTATAGTTTTGATTTTATTTTGTAAGTGCCAGGGGGGGGGGTAAAATTGAAAAATGTAAGAAAATTTTATGGAAAATGCTCCCACACCTACAAAATAGAGAAATAAAAAAAAATGCCTGCGCAAATTTGTAGATATGGTCTCAATGCATCAAATGATATGTGTCTAGATTTTGTTGCTTGAAAATTCTAGGAGAAGTTGAGAGTTCTTATGTTTTTCATTTCACATTTCATTTTTTTTTCAAAAATTCATATGAACAGAAAAGTTTTAGTATTATGTTTTACATACGTGTATTAAATTTCAAAGTGAACTGTCCGTAAATAAAAAAGTTTTTTCCTACCAATACACTCACCTCTAAGGGGGGGTATACCCTCCAGCAAAACTTTCACATTTACTAATGGATCTTTCTGAAACTTCACACATATATGTAAAACCAAAATACAAGAACATTTTGTTCATATGATTTTTTTGGAAAAATTAATAGAAAATGTGAAAGTCATAGAAAATAGACAAAAAATGGGGTACTGGAGAAATCTATCTCCTCCTAGGGTTTTCAAGCTACATCATTGAGACGCATGTCATTTGATGCGTAAAGACCATACCTATCAAGTTATTGAGCCCTTTTTTGATTTTTGCCTTAGGTTTTTTACACAAATTTTTCTGTTTTCTTCTAATTTTTTCTCATTTTCTTCAAATTTTCCCCCTCCCCCCATTTTGAATCCCAAATATGCACAAATCTAAAAAAAAAGCTCAATAACTTGATAGGTATGGTCTTTACCAATTGAATGGTATATGTCTGTCTCATTGCTGTAGCTTCAAAACTCTAGGGAGATAGGTTTGCCGTGACAATGAGTGTGAATGTTCAGCAGAGCGCGACAAAGTCCTGCCTGCATCGCAATAGGCACTCAAGGATATGAAACTAAACGTTTCTGGAGCTTGATTCCACTCAAGGATGGTGGGAGCAACTACATGTGCACCTCCTCATACAACGCCAGGTGGGCTACTGAGCTGCACCTCAAACAAAAGACTGTATTTATAGTGCTGGGCAGTGAATTAGCTTCTATCTTATTTGTTAAAGAACTCCCCCCCACCCCCTTTCATGATGTCGTGAACGCATAAATCAACATACAGAGATAAAATGGTACCGTTGGATAGGGCAGAATGTCAGCTTTAAGAGGAGACTAAACGGGTAACTGAAGCGCAACTCAAGTAGACACTATATTTAAAGTGCTCAGCAGCTAATTAACTCCTACCCTATCTAATTTGTTGAAGAACTCCCCCAACTGCCCCCCTTTCATGATCTGTCATGAAAGCATAAATCAACATACAGAGATGGCAATGGTACAGTTGGATAGGGCAGAATGTCAGCTTTAAGATGAGACTAAAAACTGGAAAAGCCAAATCCAAAAATTTTAAGGTATACCCCCCCTTAAATGTTGAAGAGCTCCACCACCTCTGTCTATTGATAGTGCTGTGCACTGTCAATAGACAGCTACCTATCTGTTATGTGACTCTTCAGTGTTTAGAAGATGTGCATTCATGAAGTGTTTTTGTATATTGAAGCCAGTTAAATGGTCAATATTTAGCTCATTACCTTGCTCCATACAAACTTTACAAAGCTAATGAATAGACTTTATCAATAATTATTTACCCAAAAATCCCTAAGTGGTAAACACCACCTTGGCCTGTTGGCCATTATTGAAGGCAATAAGTGCCCTTGTTAGCCATCCATTATGATCCATAAACTGTTATTGTTAGTAGGCTAATTGCAACATAAAAAATAACACTTCAAAAGACAAAAAAGCTGAAAAAATCAAAGAAATTAAAAAAATCATGAAAAAATAAAAAAATCAATGATTTTTGATTTTTTTGATTTAAAAAAAAATAAAAAAAAATCACCAACCCTGGAAGCTGGGCATTGGCTCTAGGGCTTATTTAAGAGTAAAATTTGTGGCCTACGGCTGCAACCCCTCCCCATGCTGCCTCTGGCCACCTGGCTCTTTGTACAACCCCTTCTACCAATTCACAGGGAACACCCAGTTTGTCATTGTAAAAGCAATGGTTGCATACATCAAGAGTACACTGTACAAGATGCCTGACGGCCTGAATAATCTCAGAATCATGTGAATGCATATCAAGACTGCCTTGAAACAAAATACCTCAAGTAAGTAACCAACCCATTGAAGATCATTTGAGAAATCTAGGTACAACAAGTGCCCTGTTTGTTGGCCATTTAAGCAATATCAAAACAGACTACAATACAACCCCTTCCACCATGGGCTATGCATAGATGATCTTCCAGAGCAGGCAGAGCAGAGAGCTCCATGAAACATCAACATAAATAAGGAAGAAGAATGTTATGCTTCTGTTAGAAGCTGCAATGATGATATATGCTTTCTTGCCAGTTCTTGGTATTTAGTGAAGGTGATACAGTAATCAATGTGATTGTGATGGATATGGTAAAAGGATATGCAAACACTGGGAGGGAGTATGGGTGCTGAATCAGTGAATCCTGCCTTTTGTGTTTCTCAATTTACTGCCTTGCCACCTGGACTCTCGTGAAAGTTTTGCTCATGTTAAAAAGAGTGCTTTCCAATATATATCTGCTAACCTGAAGCCTTAAATTCAAGGAAAATCTCATTACATCATAATTTGGTTTTTCTACAGCAATAATGGCATGCTAGATGTTCGCAACATGATTTGCATTTGTGGTGCTGGTGCTCATATTTTGAAACAATAAAAATGGTTTATAGGAATATATGTCAGTTATTCACATTGTTTTCAGTGTTACAATCAAAATTTAAGTTTTTTGTGAATCATATTATAGCTGAAAATGAATGAATTCAGCTCTGATTTTATGAATGTAGCTGGTAGTACAATTGTTTACCAGCAGAGCCGGCTAAAAGAAACTGAAGATGGTACAGCTACTGAGGTACCGTATTCCACCTTATTATATTTTGTCAGTTGTTTGTTATCTGCTTTTAAATATGCATGCCCTATTTTTATAATAAATTATAATTTTAGTAGATCAAAATATACATTTTTCTATTTTAGTAAATGAACAATGCAAAAATTCATTAATATTAAAGCTAAAGCCAGTCTGATTTTTCACTATTAGAAAACATAAAATGATAAAGTCAAACTTTCTAATGAAATATGTTCAGCTCTAAAATAAAATATGTGATTAACTTGGAAATTGAAATTCCATTGCTCAATCATAGAGTTTAATACAAAAAATAGATAAAACATAGAAGTGAAATAATATTTTTTTGCTGTTACAGTATAAAAATTTGAAGTACCATCAATCAGGCCTTATTATCAGGGTTTGTACTGGTCATGGAAAACCTAGAAAGTCATAGAATTTTATTTTTTATTGGATTTAGAAATTTGTAATGAAGCTCCCAACTATCTAGTGATGCCCGCTCCTATTCGTCTTGCGACAGATTTTCAAATTTGTGATGAAGCTCCCAACTATCTAGTGATGCCCGCTCCTATTCGTCTTGCAACAGATTTTCAGGTTATAGAAAGTCATGGAATTTGCAAATAAAAGAAGAAAAAAGGAAGTGTTTTTCTGTGCTGCATGTGTTAAATTGTTTGTGCAGTCTCGTTTCCTGCATTCTCATTGGTTCTCCAATCACACGAGCTCAGTCACCAAGCTCAGTTACATTGGACTTTTTGTCCAATGCAACTTTTTGATCTGCAGTGGCAGCATTCCATCTTCAGCATGCAATCCTACATCACCATGCCTGGAAAGGGAAAATTTCATGACTTGTGGTTAAGGGGAATTTCATGACTTGTGGTTAATTCATAGAAAACGGCTAAAAAGGGGTACTTTAGAAAATCCATCTCCTCCTACAAATATCATCCTACAACATCGAGACATGTATCATTCTATTTGTAAAGACCATATCTGTCGATTCAAACATGGTTTTTTCATTTCCCCCATAGTTTTTTCATTTCCCCCATAGTTTTTTTATGCGCGTTTTTCCCATTTTTCTCATTTCCCCCCCCTCCTTCTCCCCCATGTAAAAAACAAACCAGACAGAAATTAAAAAAAGTGATCAAATCGATGGGTATGGTCTTTGCGAGTCGAATGGTATGTGTCTCATTGCTGTAGCTTGAAAACTGTAGGAGATAGGTTTGCCGTGAGACCAATCGGAGGTTTTCACCACACCCGAAAAACTGCTGGGCGGCACGTAAAATGATGTAAAAGAGTCGTAACGTAGCCAACATACCCAAACTAAGCCTTAAAACTAAGTGAGGAAGGCATAGAGCAAGTGGCTGCACACTTTTCACCTCGCTGTCATGATGGGCACTGAAAGATCTGGCAGTATATCAAGTCATGCCCCGTAATTAATGCCTTAGGAATTTATTAAGGCCGCCCCCCACCGCCCCCCATTCCATGAGGCATGGTGAACGTAAAAATGGAGGTAGAAAGATGATTCTGCAACCAATGGAATTGTCAGAAAGTAAGCTTTAAGATGAGTATGAGCACCGGATAATGCCATGATTGGCCGCTTTACGTCAGATGTTCCTTTTTAGTGTGTCCAGCCTTCTAATTAATCCCATAGGCTTTACTGAAGGGCTCTAAAAACTCCCTCCCTTCGGGGGGCTGTTACGAAATCATTTTTCGACATAGAGGGATGATTCTGGTACCGTTAGATGCATCAAAAAGTAAGCTTCAAGATGAGCACAAAAACCGGAAAACGCCAAAATTGAAAATTTGAGGGTAGCCGGTCCCCTTAAGAATAGAAGCTTATCATGACTAGCTTGCTTGCCATCTGAAGCATGAAGGTATGGCAATATGTACATTGTGCTTAAAAGACTTTGGTGTGTCAAATATGGGGGTAGCAGCTTTGAAGAGCCATGCCACCTTTGAAGAGCCATGATGAGCTATGCATTTACACATTTGCTATTTATCAACTGTAGGAGATGATAGAATATGTATGCACGGTTTGTCTTTCAGTCATGCTAAACCTGTTATATATGAATCTTGGAAAATTATATTGATGGTCATGAAGAGTCATGGAAAAGTCATGGAATTTTTTCTAAATACCAGTACAAACCCTGATCAATGCCTCATAAGTCGCCCACCACTTAGTAGATACGGTACCGCACTTAACTCGCCGCACATTAGTAAAAACTCTATAATACTGGTCAGTACAATTTGTAGGGTTCAATTGCTGCATCATAAGTAAGCAGCTTTTCATGCTAGAAAGTTGTGGCTCAGTTTTGTTAACAAAATTGATTTTGGAAGCCTGGCAGCAAAAGTTTAGTGTAGTGGCATTGATGCTACTCCACATAACCATAACTGTTGTGAAACAATTATGGGAAAATCAGATATTTCAACACTGTTGGTAAGTGGTAACATGATGACTAGATTATTTTATTAAATTTTACAGCAGAAATTGAGAAAATGCCTCAAGAAACGCAGACCAATCTGGAATTTTGAGCAAAATTTTACTGTAAATTGTGGATGAAAACAACTTATTTGTCAGCAATTTTTGAAAAGCATAGGCAAAAATGTGCCACTTTACTTAAGGGGAGTGTCTGGGTCGCAGAAAAACTTTTTCATTTATGGACAGATCACTTTGAAACTTGGAACACATGTGTAAAACAGAAATTTAAGAATTTTTGTTTGTGTAAATTAAAAAAAACATGAAATTCTTAGGAAATGGCCAAAGAGGGGGTATCGTAGAAAATGGTGTCCTCCTATGATTTTCAAGCTACAATATCAAGACGCACATCATTTGAAGCGTAAAGACCATATTTATTGATTGGTTGTTCATTTTTTTCAAAATTATACTTTTTGTGGGTGGGGGGGCATTTTTTGTAATTTTTTTTATTTTCACCCCCCCCTCTCTTTTTTTCTAAATAGAATCCAAACTTATAACAAAATTAAAAAAAAATGAATGATCAATCTCTAGATCTTTTCTTTGCAAATTGAATGATTAATGTCTAAATTCTGTAGCTTCAAAACTGTAGGAGGAGATAGGTTTGCAGTGAGAGGAAGTGCAATGTTCCGGAATGTTCAGGAGAGCCAACAAACGGCTGGCCGGTCGCACTGCACTAAATATAGCCATTTCCCGTAGCTATAATAGCAAAGTTACGTGTTCTTTCACTTAGAAGTGAGTCAGCAATATAGAGAACAACTGCATGAAACCTTCCCACTTGACAGTTTGGGGGTAACTGAGCTCAAGGCTGTCAGACCAGGCTTATATATGCAGGTTCCATTGATATTACTGGTAGGGTTTCGTGAAGGACTCGACAAAAGGTAACTCTTTCGGGATCTGTTGTGAATGTATAAATTGACGTACAGAGATGATTTTGTTACCGTTACATGGGTCAGAATGTCAGCTTTAGATGATAATAAAAACACAAAAAGCCGAGAAAACTGCCGATTTTGGACCCAGACGCTTCCCTTAATTAATATATACTTGAAAAATTTAGGCAAGAGGTAAAAAAATGTTTGAAATTTTCTCTAACCATGTTTTTTTGGCATTAGTCACAAGTGGCCAGGGCCACTAGGCTGAGTGTAGCATTTGTTCCCAAGATCTAGTATTTTGCCCCAAAATTATTGTCAGTATTATTAATCATATGTTGCCAGAATTACTTAAACCTCCAATATCTATTGCCAAAATTACATGTAGAGAGGTTTATAATTGAAGAAAAATTTGTAGTCAAAATCGTTTGATGACCACAGATTTTGATGTGGATGTGTTGTCAAAGATATTCTGATATTTGCTCACTCTTTACCCTGGGGCCAGGGTATAATTCTGGAAGGGTAATATACAAACAGGTACTCATATTTTATTTTGAAATAAATAAAACAACTTTTTCATAACACATTTAGTTTTTTTAACTGAACAAAGTTACCAGGTTGAATTATTCTTGAATTTATGTACCATCATTCCAGCATTCCACCCTGCTGAGTAAGGCAGCTTCTGCTCAATATAGTACCAATTTAGAGCTTGTTCAATTGTACACTATTATGTTAGTTTTGGAATATTTCTAGTGATTCTTCATGATTTTAAATTTTTATGTTGTTATATGAAAGTAAACTACTGATTAGTAAAATAATTTTTACTTTTAATAATCATTTTAAATTTTACTTTTATAATTATGGGCTGACTGAAATTTGTAACAGATTACACATTTTCATAGCTTCATAGCTCAGAAAATGAAATAAAGGGTGGAGAAATGAATTCAGGGCTCATTATTTTACGCTCACAGTTTCATATCAATGGGTTTGGCATCCAAAATGCACCAGATTCAGGAAAGTTGAGTTGGTTTTTTCCTGATGTGGATCATATGAAAATTGTTTTCTATCTTATTTTTAGCTAAATACTGTGGGCTTCTGATTTTACTGAATAGTTCATAGTTACTTTTTTAATGCTAAAATTGGTGTGGTTAGAAGTAAGTAAAAAAATATCAATGTTAAAAAAAGCCAAAATTTTGTTTATGCTTTAAATCATCAAATTTCTATTGATTGTTTCAGATCTCTTTAAGGGCTGCTGAATCAGCACACCTCTTACAATGGTTCCTGGCGACTTTTTTGATGAGCATCTTATTCATTTCACTGCTGCAGCTTCACCAGCGTCTACAACCACCTTTGCTTTTGCTGATCATTGTGCTGCTGCTTTGCCTGCTTATTTACCGTGTTTATAACAGGGTAGTTTCAGGTAAGTTGAGTGATCTTTTTAACACACTTGATTTGCTGCTTGAAATCAACAATTGTTTTATCTCTGCTGGGAGAGTGAAAAATAGTTACTCAAATATGATCTGTTTTAATTTCATAATATGCATTTGATGTTAATATCTTGCTTCATAATATTCTTCTCATGAATAATCTTGATTCTAAAATAAAGTTTTGTTGGCCCATTTTTCATTCATTGTGTATAGTGCTGAATGTTTTGACTGTCTTGTTTCGACGAGTCTTAATTTTTGTGTAGGTAAATTTTGTGCAATGAATTTTTCTGACTATTTTTGTGATGTGCATTTCTTCATTAGTTGGAAAGACCAATTTCAATGTTTTTATATATTTTTCACATATTTATATATTGTATTGCTTTGCATTCCATACTATTATCTGTAATCTATCACAGAGCATCTACTTCTAGTGGCTGGATTGGGGGCTCAAGTCACAACAAAATATCATGGCGGTCACAAGCTTGTTCAGTTTGTGCCGTGGTCAGTTCTTGTTGATGTCATCATTGCTGAGACAATTTCAATGGTGAGCTACATCTTCTTCCTACTGTGTGGTATTTCTTTTACCATGCCGTATTTCTTCTTAATGTGCAGTATTGAGGCAGTATCTTGTGGTCATTGACTAATTTTATATTCTAAGCAAGCCATAACTTGAATTAAATTAAATCCGTAAATAATTCTCATTCCTGCTTGCATGTTCTGCATGTGATAATCCTATTTCACCTAAATTTAAAGCCAAATTTAAGTCAAAATTTAGTCTCCTAATACACTGACATGTACTGATTACAATAATTCTTGTTTGCAGCAGCGGGTTCTGTTTTACATTGCCCTATTAGTGAAGCAGGATCTGCCTCAGTACCACGAGAAGCATAAGATGCTGCCTTTATTTTTGGTGAGTTAAGATTTCTGCTCCAACTCTTACTCATGCTTTCTGTTGCTTCTTGTTTAATTTTAGATTATAATTTCTTATTTTGATGAAGGCAACTACTGTAATCTCTACTTTTTAAGGTTTATTTGTTTCTTGGTTTGTATTTTATTCACCACTGATGATTAAAATTAAGACATAATTCATTACTTTAAAGTTTTTGTAGGTATGTATACTAAATATGGTATTGACAAGTAAACCGAATAATAGTGACAATTTCATCATTGCCACTAATTTTCTCACTTCTTACCTAGTAAATCATGGTTGAAGTTTTGTTATAATAAAAAAAATTTCATTATTTGTTTGAAATTTGATGGATGTAAAGAACATACCTACATTATACCTATACTGTACATGTTAACAAGTCAACTTCAAATGATCAAACTGAGTAATTAGGTGCAAAAGCTCTTATTGATGCTTAATTATGTAGTATATTATTACCAGAGTTCGTGGCCTCGACTGCCATGCCTACAAGTTATATACCAGAGCTGCCAGTCTGTGCTGCTGAGACGCTCATCTTCTGCAATGAAGGACAACATTCGGTCTCCCTCATGTCTCTCAACAAACCACGTGCAAGAGAATAGTCAAGATTCTACCATTGATTCCTTGGGAATTTTGAGCAAATTCTCGAATAAGGAATGGAGATGACAGCGAGAATAAGTTTCATCCAAAACTTGATTCAGTAGTATCTTGTGTACAAATGATTCAGTAGTATCTTAGGTACAAATGATTCACTAGTATCTTAGGTCCAAATGATTCAGTAGTATCTTAGGTACCTACGAATGATTTAGTAGTAGGTATCTTAGGTAGAAGTGATTTAGTAGTATGTTAGGTACAAATGATTCAGTAGTATCTTAGGTAGAAGTGATTCAGTATCTAAGGTACAATTGACCAAATCAAAATTAATGCTCTGACAAGCTTGTTCACATGTTATGGAATAGCTGATTATTTTAATTTATATTTGTTATATTTTATCATGCTTATGAGGTATGTTGTCGCTGGTAAGTCAGTAGACTTGGTCCATGTTGTAGGTAACTTTATCTATAATTATAGTTGTTATCTGTAAACGATGCTCATTGCATATTTGTTCTTATACTGTAAGCTTAGAATGGATTTTAATTAGAGTATTCGTGAGCTGATACTTGTGTTATTGTGAAGATCTCACTTCTATTTTTTGGTGCTCAAAAAACTTGTACTTTATATGCCCTTACTGAGGCTTCAGCTATGGTTTTAGATAAGTGTTTTCAGAGTTCTGGTAAGAATCCATTGTTATGGGTGTTATGGTGCCAAAACTGATCTAAACTTATGTATGTTTAATTGTCACACACGCACAGTTGAATGTAATGATAGAATTATTTTGTTTTTAAAGTATTGTAAAAGTCTTTGAATATGAGGAGTCATTCCTGCAAAGTGCTATGATTAAAAGCTGCATTTTGGCTGCTACTCTTTTTACTTTCACTTCAGCGGTACCGCGGCAGACTTTGATAATGAGAATTTTATCTTTCGGATAATTTTGCTTGAAAAACAATACGTGCTCAGCATTTGTTTTCTTAGTCTCGCCAGGCGGGTGCCAACGTTATAATGCAAAAACTTTAAAAGCCATGCAAATGTGCTCACTTTCACTCAAGGTAGCCAGGAGCTGTTCTGTATTTTCCAAAGAATTAATGCTTTTTAATAATTAAAGAAAGAATCCAATTTTTGATTAAAGCTAAGAATATTTATTTTATGAGAAATGTAGTTGTGATACATGAATGAAATAAGATCCTCTGTTTCCAAACTTTAATTGAAAGGTCCAAGAGAAATAAATTACCGTTTGTATCGATGATACCTTCTATGAAAGACGCGGCAACTACAAAAGTTTGTGTCTATCAAGTCGCTAAATATGTTCAAGATGTTGCCGAATATGTACTCAATAATATTTGTCGTGCTGTTGACACTAACATGCGCATGTGCGGGCAACATCGACGTCAAGGTAGCTCTGAATTAGCCGTCTACATTACAACAAGTTGTGCAGCAGTTTCCGTAGAGTGACAACGTTTTGCCTGGGACGAAGCCAGGGGCTCTCTTGAGTTACGACGAAGTCGAGCGATTGTTGGCTGAAAACTTCAAGAACTTGAAGGAAAGGATCGTGCCTAGCGGTACTTTGGAAAATGGGGACGATGGAGAAATCTTGAATTAGCCGTCTACAGTACAACAAGCTGTGCAGCAGTTTCCGTAGAGTGACAATGTTTTGCCTGGGACGAAGCCAGGGGCTCTCTTGAGTTACGACGAAGTCAAGCGATTGTAGGCTGAAAACTTCAAGAACTTGAAGAAAAGGATCGTGCCTAGCGTTACTTTGGAAAATGGGAACGATGGAGAAATCTTGAGCACAGATGCAGACTACTCAATCACTTTTAATACCTCGAGTAATTTTTATTTTTCTGTCTGGTATCTCAGAGAAGCTAAGATTAGCATCGCAACTCCTATTGAAGTTTAGATAATTTTTCGAGCGGGCGATGAGAGTGTCATTCTAGTGGAGGGGCAACCTGAGAGGCGTTTTATAGTAAGTCCTCCGACTGAATTTGCGACGTATAAACTTACCGTGGAACCCAGCAGGTTGCTGCTACTGCGAGGTGGTGGAGACGAGATTACACGAGTAAAGCTTCCAAGAAGAGAGATTTTGGAGTCGGGATCTACCAGCCCTACAGATGATGATACGAGTATTCAGGTTGTCATTGGCGGAGAAGCAGAGTGGGTGCTGCTCGTGAGCTGCGACGCAGACGTGCTGACGTTTTCGTGTTGCTCTCAAAAACTGCAATCGCAACTCCGTCATTTTTATTACAACATGAACAGAAACGGTGAACTATGATGATAAATTTTGCACTCACCTACGCTGAAAACTGTGTCGTATTATTTTTCCGTAGTTGGCCCTCAGCCTGGCAGAAAATATTGGCAAATCCTATAAAAAAACTGACATATCATATCGCTAGTGGGATTAGAGAGTTTACTACATGGCCATACAAATCAGAATGCATGAAATCAAGGCTCTAAAAATTCACCTCATTTTTGGAATGGCTTATCCTCTGGAAGGTTCCATGGATCAATCATTGAAGCCAGCGATGGATTTTCCGTCCGGTCGAAACTCGGTCGCATCTGTCACGAGCCGCCATCACGACGACATCTGGCCCGTGAAAATGTCTGCCGTAGCTCTGCTTTTTGAAATTTTGTCGCTAGTATGTAGGTCGTAGTTGCGTTGTAAAGTAATTTTAACATAAAATATGTTTCATTTTTCCAACTCTATAAATTTTATGTGGTTTAAAAAACTCATTTCTCTGACTTTCTTTTAGAGCATGTAAGATGATTCAGATATTGAATTGTATCGTAATTGGCGTGATGAGACAAATGAGCTTAGAATATACAAATAAGATAGGGCGCCGCTGGATCACCGTTAAACTTAAAGACTTGAATTACGAGCCATTCAAGGACGTAGATATACCAGTGAGCTCTTAGGAGCTCATTGCGGAGATGACAGCGTCAGGTCTGAACTTAGCTGCCATTGACTTTATTGTTATTGCTAAGGATATTTGCCCATAAGATACGCGTTATATTACGTCGGCTCAATGGGTTATAACCAAGTGTTCCAAATCGCAAGCATTGCGGACAATCGAGCGTTGACTTTGGCACAATGCAGCCCAAGTTCCATGCCGTAGGGTTACGCTTGATAGGAGACGAACGAAGTGGCAATAGAGCGGCTTAAGTGCAGCGCGGCAGAGCTTCTGAAATGATCGGGTGAGCCGTGCGAGCCATAAGGCTTTGACATATCAAGCTGCAGGCCACGTTGGCTATCAACCTTGAATGTAGCGAGCGTTTGACTTTACAGGGATAAGTGAATTGTGTCACGTCCCTGCAAACGCTTCAGACATACGACCTGTCACTGTTTATAGTTTAGGGACATCCGTAATTTGTGTTAATAGCGAAGGCATATATGAGATCACTTCGAATGGCCGGCTGCCGTTGGCGGTAGCTTGACATTATTCTTCTATTTATGAATAATTATTATTGGTATTCGCGTATTCTTTATCTGGTTTTCTCAAAGGAAAACATTTTGAGCATTTTCTATATCATACGTTGGCTGATATATAAGTTAATTGATTATTTGAAGTGATTATATGAAAATCAAGCATATAGAAATTTGTTATATAAATGTCTCAAGTAGTATGAGCAATAAACAGCAGTTAGCTGGAGCTTTGGGACCAATAGACAATTCACCGTAATCCTTTTACGAGCAACAGCGTAGGGCGTTTCGAAGTGCCAATGCTGAACGTTTCGTTCCCGTGGTTTATTCACAAGTTTATGTAAAAATGTCTTATTTATAGCACCTGAAATGTCATAATTGATTAATTTTTAATTGTATCTGTTGCGTTCTGCTGTCCTAGTTTGTGTCTGCTTCTTGCGTCAGCGCAGAGGTCATATGCATGACCGTAAAATGTAACGATGGATAACACGGGCTTGAAATTTAGCCCAATAAATTGTCACTTAGCTTTAATAAAGCTAATAATCAAATCTGAAAATCGATTACCCATCCTGCATCAACACAGTCAGCAATCATATATTTGGCTCCAATAGACAGAACCAGCAGTTCCTCAGGTTAATCACAGGTCTTAATAAAGTATGTCGGCAGATTCGACTGCCGCTCAATTGGACGTAACAGGTCGCCCCGAATGGCATTGCAGGTCGCATGAGATGACAGTGCAGGTCGCCTGAGATGAAACTACAGGTCACCTCAGATGAAACTACAGGTCGCCTGAGATGGCACTGCAGGTCGCCTGAGATGACACAGCAGGTCGCCTGAGATGACACTGCAGGTCGCCTGAGATGACACTGCAGGTCGCCTGAGATGACACTGCAGGTCGCCAGAGATGACACAGCAGGTCGCCGTAGATAACACTGCAGGTCACCTGAGACGACACTGCAGGTCGCCTGAGATGACACTACAGGTCGCCTGAGATGACACTGCAGGTTGCCTGAGATGACACTGCAGGTCACCTGAGATGGCACTGCAGGTCACCTGAGATGACACAGCAGGTCGCCTGAGATGACACTGCAAGTCGCCTGAGATGACACAATGACACAGCAGGTCACCTGATATGACACTGCAGGTCGCCTGAGATGACACAGCAGGTCGCCTGAGATGACACAGCAGGTCGCCCTGAATGACACAGCAGGTCGCCCTGAATGACACTGCAGGTCGCCCTGAATGACACAGCAGGTCGCCTGATATGACACTGCAGGTCGCCTGAGATGACACAGCAGGTCGCCTGAGATGACACAGCAGGTCGCCCTGAATGACACTGCAGGTGGAGTGATATGTCACTGCAGGTCGCCTGATATGACACTGCAGGTCGCCTGATATGACACAGCAGGTCGCCTGATATGACACTGCAGGTCGCCTGAGGTGACACTGCAGGTCGCCTGATATGACACTGCAGGTCGCCTGATATGACACTACAGGTCGCCTGAGGTGACACAGCAGGTCGCCCTGAATGACACTGCAGGTCGCCTGTGATGACACTACAGGTCGCCTGAGGTGACACTGCAGGTCGCCTGAGATGACACTGCAGGTCGCCTGAGACGACACTACAGGTCGCCTGAGGTGACACTGCAGGTCGCTCCGAATGGCACTGCAGGCCGAGCCGGTGTCTGAGGTCAATTAGGTTTAGTTCCCCACAGGTTGCACGATTGCGTTCCGGTCTTCCTAACCCAATTCAAATAATTTTATTTGCCCGCAAGATCCAACTTTACGGCCACTTCCGTCCCTCACTGCTAAGAGATTAAAAAGTTGCGAATCAGCTAAAAGAAACGCAGCACAGCGTTATAGTTTATGAAATGTTAAAGGGACAAGGGTTATATTGAGGAAAATCACCTTGAATTCACCATGATTGTTTTTCAAGTCCCTCGTCTCGGAAATTCACGATGACTGGATTATCCTCTAAGAACATGTAAGTTTTTTTCTGTTTTCGGACGCGTGCGGATCAGGATAGGGAGAGGACCCGAAATCCTGATTTCAGTATCCGGTGACGAACAACAAATTTTCTTCATGCGACAAGCTGAGTTGTTTTTGCGGACGACGGATGAATCGGTAAATAAGTAATACGGCACGAAGACACAAAAGACCACACTGACTCAAAATGAAATCGCTTCCTAATTTGTCACAAGCGTTTTTTCTGTAAAATTCGTGAGGCTGCATTTTCTGACAACTACGATGCATTTCTCAATTATTTTCATCGATAACAAAGTAGGAGAATTCAAACACAGTTTGTAATGATTTATTGCCTTCAATGTCTCAGAACGCTTAAAAATTCTGTAGGAGCTTCAACTTACTTCGCTCGATGATAATTTTTTTAAGCTCTTGTCTACTGTAAAAAAAACTTCGCTTGGCATCGAAGTGAATAGGTCGTAC